CAGAGAATCTTGCTTATTCTCTTGTGTAAATTGAGACATACTGCTGTAGAACTTAGTTAAAACTTACATTTTGTTTTGGGATATTACTAAGCTGCTGTCTAAGTCATATTTTGATTTGGGGATCAGTGAATTGGAGAAGTATCCAAGAAATACTATGCAAAAGAAATAACTAACTAGGTCGAACACACACAGGACTTGATATCACCGGTTTCGGTAATTGCATAAATTGAAAACAGGTAGTCTGAAGCAACGAACAGGACACATTGTAACTATCAATGACTTAGTGAACTAACACCACATTTTGTATCGCCCTCTATTGGATCTGTTCCAACCTACCCCGAAAGTAGCAAACATCACTCGTCGAGGCAGGCGCTAACTATTACATGTCCAAACCTCCTTAGTCAATGAAAACTCTTCTCGTCATCAAACAGTTTTCCATCTTTGTCTACTATCCTATATTTAAACCTGGCAATTCAACTAGGTTCTTTATTGTGACGTTAACAATATCTCTGTGTTGAGTCATTATCATAGTAAGTGATACCATTCTAACGAGATGATAATTAACGCATTATTGTGGAGTAAACTAATGAAGGCAGAGCTCATAAGTAGTATGCAGTGGATACAGTAGGGTGACGATGCCCTGAAGTTATAACTGCAGAGAGAAGTGCCAGATACGGACGTATGGCGTGATCTAAGTGTTGTAAGGAACAGAAGACAGTCAGCAATGTGTTTGTTTCGCAAATACATGCTTATTTGGCTAGTAGATTGTGCCTTCCTCACATAGTTTGTTTACCCAATCTGAGCCTCCATCTTCAGTCCTAGCAATTATCATCAAAATTATTATTTATGATAGTAGTGTGATTCATATTACTGTTAAATAAACACGTGTCAATTCATATTTAGACTTGAGACAAATAATAAAACATTACTTGTTAAAACATTCATTCATAGTACATAGGCATGGCACTGAGAGTGACTGAGTAAGTTAAGTGAGTAGTACCATTCATTCTGAATCATGAACTAGTGATACACACAAATTTATACTAAACAACTAAAAACTGTGTAAAAACTGTACAACAATAACAACAGCATCAGTAGTCAAAAGTAACTGTGCACCACAGTATCACCATCAATCATGAACACCGGATAGACATGCACACACAGACACACAAAATAGACAAATAGACAGGCATCTATTTCAACTAGTGACAATTATAAGCTCTTTTTTCTTTATTTATCCAAAAACTAACCACCACCAATTATGAACAAAGGTATAAGATGAACAATACTCTCTCTCTGTCTCTCGATTGATTAATGATTAAAGCATAATCTTAACGATTATCATCAAACACTTCATCAATCAAATAATCCGTGTGTGAATCAACGAGCAGTAAGTAAGTAAGTAAGTAAGTAACATGACAGATTTGTACGCCAATATCAATTGTATTAGTATTGCTTATATGCTTATATTGATCCGTAGTCAGTCACACAGTTTTATTTAGTATGGAACACAATGACACAAGCGCATGCACACACACATACACATACAAATATGATTAATGGGGATATGGAAGCGAATGGAGAGGGAAAATATTAATAATAATAATAACAATAATCATAATAATAATCAATAAAAAATGCAAAACACAAAAAAGGAAGTCCTATATATATATATAGAGAGAGAGAGAAGAGAAGGATGGGAATAAAACAGAGGAAATTAAATCTTGTGCAATGAAAAAGATGAATTTGTTGGTGTATTTATTCCTCTCTTTCTATGTCAATTGGAAAATTTCCATAAAGTTATTACAATGAATGCCAAACAAAAAACACCATATTCATAGATAGATCATTTGAGCAAGATCATAGACTAGATAAAACTGATGAATTTCTCACTATAGAGAGTTATGGAGATGAAATCCGTGACATTAACACCGTTGAATGTCCAGGGCTCAGTAGTCTAGAGGTTAAGCATTTGAGCACGAGACCGATGGTGATAGGTTCAATTCCCGCGAGCAAAGGTCATGGAAGCGCACTGTTGATGAGTCTCATAATAGGACGAAACGGCTGTCCAGTGCTTTGAAGTTTCTAATGGTGGTCTAACAATGATTGATTCGTGATTTTAACATAACACAGATGAATTTTGAAGTTGGATAGAGTCGTCTGTATGTGACACACTTCAAAATCTTTCACAATGACATAAGTTCATTTGTTTTTTACCTACTTACTTAAGATGATTTCTAAGTTTATAAATTTGATGAAAATCTGGTGCGGATAGGTAAAACATGGGCTACATTTCTACAATCAAACACCATCTGGAACACGAAACAAATATCAAGCAACATCAAAGTCACACTTTTCCATACAAACGTCAAGACAGTTCTACTGTATGGGGCGGAAACTTGGAGAACCATCAAAGCCATTTTTCGGGAGATACAAGTGTTTATTAATAGTTGTCTACGCAAAACATTCCGGATCCATTGGTCAGACACTATCAGGAAGAACCTACTGTGGGAGAGTACAAATCAGATTTCAGCGGAGGAAGAAAACAAGAAGAAGCTCTGGAAGTGAACAGGACACACATCGCGGAAAGCTCCGAACTGTTTTACAAGACAAGCCATCATTTAGAATCCTCAAAGTCAAAGGAAAAGAGGAAGACCAGAGAACACATTACGCCGAGAAACGGAGACAGGCATGAGAAGAATGAACAGCGATTGGATGAAACTGGAAAAAGAAGGTTCAGGACAGAATAGGCTGGAGAATGCTGGTCAACAGCCTATACTCCATTAGGGGTAACAGGCGTAAGTTAAATTTAAAAGAATGAAAAAGAAAGGGCAATTTAACTTACCTTCAGATGAATAAACAGTTGGATTACATGCATGAAAACGTCGTGAAAAATGTAATAATATACGTTCACGTTCTTGTGATTCACCAGTTAATGAAAAACTATTTAAAAATGATCTTAACGCAACATCTAAACGTTGATTGGTGAAATTAAAGAAACTAGCAAATTCTTCACCAACAAGTTGACTAAAATCATTTCTATAAATTAAAATGAAAAAAAATAAGGGAAACAAGAATGATCAACTTGAAAGTTATAAAAAGAAATTCTACTTAAGTTTAAAAAGGTAGATTAGGCAGATGGTGTGCTTCCGGAGTTCACTTCGATTTTAAAACAACGATAACATTGTTCAGAAACGCAACAGAAAAAACCGCCATGAGTAAACTGTACCCAACATTGACCTGGTGGTTGATTACGACTCATAGCCACTAAGTTCCAGGTCTGGATACTGCTTCAACTTGGAAAACTGGGTCGTATGGTTAGGCCTCGAATTTAGAGTGTAGCTCAGAAAGTACAACACCAAGGGAAAATATGTTCATGTGGCAGATTCTAATATTCTGAATTCCTCATCAGGTTTATCATTCTCTTAATAAGTTTATTTCACCGGATTAAACTTCTTGAATAATATATTCAAACCAGTTATGCTTGTCAATCGATACGCTTGAAACTATTACAAGTTCACCTTAGTCGGCAACGAGAGCGAGACAATAATCCAGTGACACGATATGTTACTCTAATCCGTTGACCCGTCTAACTGAAGAAAGAAGTCTTGATATGGTGTAGAAAGTTCATTTTACAAGCACCCAGGAAAAAGAGGTCGACAAGCACACAAATCGAGTTTATTTATACATCATAGAAACATCCTTGGGATAGCCACAAAAATAGCGTACTGAAATAACAAATCAACCAATGACAGTCAAGGATTTTCCGGGTGGGAAATATAATCTCAGTCGTGTCGGATATGAGGCAGTCGCCCACCGACGACAATAGATGACGGTCGTGCAATACTATGGATTGGTTCAAGTTAGACAATACCACAGTTGCATGTTGGCACATGTTATTTAGTTCGTATACTATATCTAGTCAGTGTGAAAAGACAGTTCACTTTATCTATACATTTAAAAACAATAATCGGTACAAAGTGGCACCAAAATCTATATATACATGTCACACAAATCATTGAATTTATGTGTGGCATGGGATACTGAAGCAAATGGTGTTCTCATGCTATTTCGCCCCCAAGGATCCTTGATTTTAATTTCATTCGTCTTTTTCTTTAGAACCATATGTCCAGTACATTTGGTCTTCTACCATAAATGATACTACTTTCATTTCAAATTCTTTGTATCTCATTCTGATATTTCCTATTTTCACCGTGCTACTATGAAATATGGCAACTTAGGTAGATGTAAAAATTTATGCCAAGGTATTAAATTATTTCAGAGTAATTCAATTTACTGAACACTAACTTTTGTTTTGATGTATTATAAAACTCTAGCTTATTATTATAGTTAACATCATGGGCTAATATCTTAGTCAATCAGCCGTTGAAAACCACAGTGCAATGGACAAAATGCAGAGTCTTCCGACTACTCTAAGCAACAATGCAAGCATGTTCGGGATGCGGTTCTCACCCTCGAAATGCAAAATGTTGCTTCAAGATTGGGTTACACTGGCACCTGAACTAGTGATAGGGAGTGAAGTAGTCAAATGTGTAAACCGCTTCACTTATCCCGGCAGTCTCGTCAGTGCTGATGGCCTGGTGACTGACGAAATCTCAGCATGGATACAGAAAACTCGATTTGCTTTTGCCAACTTACGCCGTTTATGGCGTAGGCGAGATATCCGTTCACTAACCAAAGGACGAGTGTACTGCGCAGCAGTTCGCTCCGTTCTCCTATATGGATGCGAAACATGGCCGTTAAGAGTAGAAGATATTCGTAGGTTACTGGTTTTCGATCATAGGTGTCTTCGAAGCATTGCTCGTATATCGTGGGACACCCGAGTGAGCAACGCTGTTATTAGGAATCGGGTGCTAGGTAATAATGGCAGATCAGTAGATGAACTAATGAAACTTCATCAGTTGAGGTGGTTGGGACATGTGTTACGTATGCCTAACCACCGACTGCCTCGACGAGCTATGTTTTGTGGTGTAGGAGTAGGTTGGGAGATAGCTAGGGGCGGTCAAACCAAAACATGGCACAAATCCATGTGGTCACTGACAACTGGACAGAGTCATGTCGGAAGGTGTCGACTACATGGTTGGAGCCCGCGAGATGAAAGTAATCGATGGTTAGAGACTATGAATGACACGTCTCAAAACCATTTGCAATAGTGTAGGTGCATCCACTCTTTGTGTTCCCTCAAATTCTAATCTTCAGAATTTCTCATCATCTCGATCTTTCGCTTTCTAAAGTTATGTCATTGAACTAAACTACTTGAATAATATCTTAGATCCCTAATATTCTTCATTACCGCTTATTCTTCTACTATTTCCACCACTCTTGGATTTTAACTGACAGTTGCGTCTCTGTGCTAATGTGGTATGGCAACCTGAACTTATGTACTTACGTAAGAAGTTCTAGGTTGTGACTGACAACATACATGCGCGCGCACACACACACACAAATGATCTCAGAAACACCTATAAGCACGCTGAATGATAAGAAAGCAGAGAAGACAATGAAAAGAAAATGTGGCAGTGCTTTTTTATCGATCTTTCTTTCCATTCTTATTTCCACGTCTTTCAAAGCAAATCTTAAGATAAAACATGTTGATTAACATCAATCCTAGCAGTAGTAGTACAAGTCAGTCAATCAAAAATCAGTTGACTGACAGTAGTTATTAGTTCATTTATTACTTGAAAGTACTACTAACAACAAACGTGTTTATTATTTATTATTCATAACAATGCAATCAATGGAAAAAATACATGAAAAAGAAAAATATGAACAGAAAGATAGATAGATGGATGGATTTCGTTTTAGACAAGAAAACGGCAAACAGAACTATGTTACAACATTGCAGTGAATATATTTAAAACAGGGAAAAAAAAATCAATAAGGCGAAAACTGTAAACACACTAATGCAAAATGTTTGTTTTATTACTTGTAAATGGTTAGTTCTCTCTTTTGATGTTTTTTTTCAGAAAATGAAAAAAAAACTACTGGTAAAGAAAATTAATTCAAAGAATGGAATTAGTGTACAATTTAAACGTTACAGAGTTTTCAATACAATCTATCATTTTGTTCAGAACTAAGTACTAAGGTTGTAACCAGCGGAATCCAACGATATCAGGGATGAGACAGCAGCCATTGATGGTTGATACGATTGTCGAGAATATAAAATACTGGATTCTAACAGAGACAGACAGATACAACGCAGAACTTCGTACGTAAGTACATCAGTTCAGGTTGTCATACGACATTAGCACAGAGATGCAACTGTCAGTTCAAATCCAACAGTGGTAGCAATAATAGAAGTATTAGCAGTAATGGAGAGGATTAGGGAGCGAAGATATGATATCATTCGAGAAGTATAATTCAGTAAGATAAATTTAGAAGGAAAAAGGTAGAGATTATGAGGAATGCAGAACGTTAGATTTAGAGAGAACACAATGAATGGATGCACCTGCGTCATTGCAAACGATTTTGAGCCATGTCGGTCAAGGTCTCTAACCACCGATTATTATCATCTCGCTGACCCGAACCAGGTAGCCTGCATCTACCAACATGACTCAGTCCACTTGTCAGTGACTTCATGGATTTGTGCAACGTTTTAGTTTGGTCGCTCCTAGCTTTTATCCAGTCTACTCCTACACTGCAAAACATAGCTCGTCGAGGCAGTCGGTGGTTGGGCATACGTAACACATGTCCCAACCACCTCAACTGATGAAGTTTCACCACTTCATCTATTGATCTGTCATCGTTACCCAGTACTCGTTTCCTAACGACAGCATTGCTTATACGGTTGTCCCATGATACACGAGCAATGCTTCGGATACACTGATGATCAAAGTGTAGTAACCTAGGGAAGTCCTCTACTCTTAACGGCCATGTTTCGCATTCGTACAGTTGGACGGAGCGAACTGCTGTACAGTACACTCGTCCTTTAGTCAGCAAACGGATATCTCGCCTGCGCCATAAGTGACACAGGTTGGCAAAAGCCAAACTGTATCATACCATAATTATTCAATTATACTGCCTGAGATTACGATTTGTTAACGAAAAAACAGGAATCGCTTAAGTAATCTCAAGGTCATGGCGGTCATTTCAGTACCCGATCCACACATACAACGGATTTCCAAGGAGGACATTATAGTTGAGCAGTTACAATAGATAGGATTATTGAGAACCTCCATTCCTTATGATTGTGGGGCCCAAACAACTGCTGGATAGTATACGGACTAACGCGACAGTGTTGTATTTAAATGTAAAACATGTTGGAGCAAGAAATCTGAAAGAAAGGAGATGTTTTTTGATCGATTTTTTGAATAACACAACGACATGTTATGCTTATTGTAGCTATCTAGATAGTAAGAGCATGGCTGCAACTTTTTTAGATGTTGCTGAAGCTTCGATAGTTCAATGGTATGAGTACTGTAGAGAAATTTTGGAAACCCTACACAAAAGTACACACTGGCACTATAAAAGCCATGTGGTTGTGTAGAAAGTTTTTTCAGACCTTATCACCGTCGCAAAGGTCAACTGCCATTGATTCGTGTGAATGCATTACGATTTTAGAACCAAAGAGACTTTTTCTAACTTGAACAAGCTTTTAGGCCATACTGAAGCGTATACACTTTAATTTTCTGATTCTACATAAATTATTACTCAAGATCAACTGTTTCTTGATTGGCCGAAAATTTTCAAGGTCAGTTGAGATTCGTTCAAGAATTGTCCATAAATTATGATCTCATCCTGAAAACTTTTCAAACTTCCTAGCCTAGTTTGTAACTATATGAACCTAATCTGAGATTTGAACTTGCGACTTACTTACTGGAATATCGAATACTTGAACCACTAAGCTACTACTACTGTAGTGAATGAGAACACAGGTGGGGCAACCGAATTGTATTTAACGAAATTACAGAGTTACTCAGTAAAATCGGAAAACCATATCGTAAATTGTTAATTTGCAAAATATCAGTTCATCATATCGAACTGGACTGATCCTGTTGCAAAACATCAATCCATTGTTACTATTCATGCGTTTCATACAAATTCCATTGTGTTCTTCTAACTCTTCCTTTCTTGATCTTCCCCCATCTTCTGCTGCCAGACATTACGTTTACACTGACGTCATATACTACTTGTAAGCAGCTCGCACCACACTACTACTACTACTACTCATTAAGAACAAACATAAGCTAATATTTCACTTAACAAGTTGACCAAAAAATAACGTTTGGAAAAAGGAAGTAAATTCAACTTACCGTTTACTCAAGTGTTTAGCAACATCAGTTATACGAAAACCATCTAAATGAAAAAGTCTTTTTGCTAGTCGAAAAGCTGCACTACGATCTGCTGCTTTTGGTGGTTGATGATAAATTGACTCTGTGGTTGATTCACTATCCGATTCTGATGAGTCTGAAGAAACAGGCAGTAAGAGATCTTTTAAATTATTCTCTGTATTATTACCACTACTACCACCACAACTACCATTGACATCTTGTGTGATTTCATTTAAATGTGAATGTATTGGACGAGATGAGATAGTATCGTTGACACCATTCATGAAATGTGTTGTTGTTGTTGTAGGTGGTGGTGGTACGGTCGTCGTCATTGTCACCGTTGTTGTCGTCACGGATGTTAACGATGACGATGATGAAGGGATCTGTGATGGTGTTGCAGACATAACAAGATTAGTTGATTTCGGCACGACGGTTGTGTGTTTATGTGAATCAATACGATTTGATGAAAGAGGAGGTAGAGGAAGATATGTTGACGTAGTTTTACATTTTGTTTTAATAGATAAATTATTATTCAATGAATAGTTTGAATGATTTGAATTATAATCATCATTATTATTATTATTGTTATTAATATGATTAATGTCAGTTGATTTGACAGGTGAAGATAATGAATTATGCAGCTTTAAGAGGAAAATAGTTGAATAAAACAAAAAATAAAATATCAATGTTGGGTTGAGTAAAATTTATCCATATAATAAATATAACATTGTATATATTAAGATACTAAGCCATAACTACTAACTCTGCCTGGAACCCTTCTGCGGTGACTTTCGGTCCTAAGTTAGGATAAAAGAGGGTCAGTCAGTCAGTTACAACGTAGAACTTCGTAGGTAAGTACATCAGTTTATGTAGCCATACCACATTAGCACAGAGAAGTGATTGTCAATTCAAATCCCATAGTGGTTTAGATAGTAGAAGTATTACTGATAATGGTTGCGTATGCCCAACCACCGGCTGCCTCGTCGAGCCTTGTTTTGTAGTGTGGGAATAGGTTGGAAGAAAGCTAGGGGCGGCCAGACCAAAACATGGCAGAAATCCATGAAGTCATTGACTAGTGGACTGAGCCATGTCGGTAATTGTCGACTACCTGGTTGGGGTCCGCGAGATGATAATAATCGATGGTTAGAGACCTTGAATGACATGGCTCAGAATCGTTCGCAATGGCGCCGGTGCATTTATTCTCTATGTTCTCTCAAATGCTAATCTTCTGGATTCTTCAACCCCTCTGGTTTCGACTCTCTAAACGTTTCTCACTGAATCATACTTCTTGAATAGTATCTTCTAATCCTAACCTCTCCGATTATTTCTAATTCCCTTACTACCTCTTCTACTATTGGATTTGAATTGACGATTACTTCTCTGTGCTGATGTGGTATGGCAACATGAACTGATGTACTTATGTACAAAGTTCTACGTTGCATCTGACTGACTGACTGATAATGGAGAAGACTAGGGTTCCAAGATATTATTCAAAAAGTATAATTCAGTGAGATAACTTTAGAAAGACAAAGGTAGAGGTGATGACGAATTCAGAAGATTAGAATTTGAGAGAAGACAAAGAGTGGATGCACCTGCGTCATTGCAAACGATTTTGAGCCATCTCGTTCAAGGTCTCTAACCTTCGGTTACTATCGTCTCGAGGACCCCAACCAGTTAGCCTACATCTACCAACATGACTCAGTCCACTTGTCAGTGACTTCATGGATTTCTGCTATGATTTGGTCTGGCCGCCCCTAGCTTTATCCAACCTTCTTCAACACCACAAAATATAGCCCGTCGAGGCAGTTGGTGGTTGGGCATACGTGCTAGTGGGACATAGACTGGATTAAAGTATGATCGGCTCTTTCGTATCCAATCAGCGCTAGCCAATACTGAGGAAACATTATGTAAGAAAACTATAAATATACTACCTTCTTCTTCCTTTGTACCTTCTGATTTCCATCTAACCTTGTTACTGGAATATAATCTCTTTCGTGTTCAACTATGTTCTGATTTGGGAGAACGTTTCGAGTGAATTGGTGTCCGAGAATACTAAGCATTAGGAATAGCTGGGTTGTAATAAAGAGAGAATTATAACAATTTGTAACACATGACCCAACCCCCTCAAATGATGAAGTTTCACTACTTCATCAACTGATCTGCTATCCCTACCTAGTACTCGTTTCATAACATGTGGTTAGCAACCCTTCATTAACGTATACAATAGCACAAATGTGTATTAGCCTGAATGATCGTAGCACATCAGTATGGCGAAATGAAATTATAGGAGTAATAATGACTATGAGAATGTGCTAAGTAGTCAGACAGTCAAATACAACGTAGAACGTCGTGCTTACGTACATCACTTTAAGTCGCTACACCACATTAGCACACAGAGATCGAATTATCAATGGAAATCCTATAGCAGCCTCAGCGGTAGTACAAGTATTAGCGGTATTCAAAAAAGATTAGAGTCCGAAGATATATTCAAGAAGTATAATCCAGTGAAATAATTTTAAAAAGAGAAAGATAAAAATGATGAGGAATTTAGAAAAGATTAAAATTTGTAAGAAAACAAAAAAAATGGATGCACCTGCGCCATTGCAAACGATTTTCAGTCATGTCATTTAAAGTGTCTAACTATCGGTTACTATCATCTCGCGGACCCCAACCAGGTAGTCTACATCCACAAAACATGCCTCAGTTTAGTTGTCAGTGACTTCATAATAAAGTTTCGAACATGTTAAGTAATGAGAATATGATGTCAGATGACAAACAAGTTATCAAACAAACAGGATAAAATGAATTGTTCAGAAAACAAGACAAGGAAATTTGGAAAAAAGTGATTCCAGTTTACGCATTATATACATGATTAATTTGAGTCCAATTAAATTAACACACCAACAGAAATCTCGTTAAATACAAACGGAATGGTGGCCTAGTAGTTTATAATTTCAATTCTCAACAATCAAATCCTTTAGTTTAGATGCTGTTCCATATACTTTGGTTTGAACAGCACTAGTAATCGTCATAATTAGACTATAGCTTACACTCAAGTACTAGTTAGTATCTGGTGAATAGAATTCAGTCAATTCAATGTTTAATTTAATAAATTTTGTTACATACACGCACGTACATACACACACACACACAAATGATCAATCGGTCAATGTTGTTGATGCAAACTTTGATAGAAGCTGCTGCAATTTCATTTAACTAGTACTATTTACACATACACACACACACACACGAACACAAGCACAAATATTGTGCATGATAGTCACTTATTATTGATTGTCCAATAAATCGTTATTTGTCTGATAGTGTGAAATTTTCCACTCGATTTTAGATTTGCATGGTTAAAATGTAACTTGGGATGAAAACACGTTCAATTTTTCTAGTTATTTTGTTCTTATGTAATCGGAAAAAAAATTGTATGGAGTAAAATTAGTTTTATGAACATACGCATAGATAGACACACACAGTGTAGTACTACCGACAATTTCTTGTAATGATGAGGTGAAAAGCACAAGCGGGAGTTGAGATAGTAAGTACCCATACAACACACTTCTATATTACTGTTCCAATGGGAAATAAATAATGGTAGATGAGCATAAGTGAGTCATAATATTTGAAAATACAATTAACAGTTCGCAGTTGCAATTCTACAATACATGGGGATTAATGGAAATGTAAATTGTTCATTGAGAGGTACACTATTGTGTAGATTCTCCATGATTCACAGATACTTAATGTGTAGTAATATCGATGCGATGCCTAAGAATTAGGTTCAATACATTAGATCTTGATGGACTGGAGAGTGAATGACTAACAAACTGATGTCCTATAACCACATGGACCCTGTAGTATGCTTATGACTTAACTATATACGAAAAACTTATTCTTTCAGACAATCGTCTTGTCCTTGATTTTAAATCATTCAAGAGCTTAAGTCAGTAATTCAGTCTGTTTATCATTCGGTTACTCTTCATATCAATGCATCACATGCCGACTCAGTGGTCAAGACGTTATGCGTTCGCAGGCTAGGTCAGAGGTCCTAGGTTCGATTCCCGCTTACGGAGCCGTGAATGCTCAATCCTGATGAGTTACCTACCAGGACAAAACGGCTACCCAGTGCTTCTAGGTTTTTAATGGTGGTTTAACATTGATTGATTTATAATTTCAATGAAATATATGCACTATTTTTCAAAATTTTATTCATTCAATTACCAAGAACCTACTTCATAAAAAGCATATGGATAAGAAAAGACAAAGGTTGAATGCATCCAGGTCATTGTAAGCTATTCTGATCCCAATCACTCAGTATTTCCAGAGATAAGCTACGATAGTCCAGCGGTGCCTAATTAGGTGGTTTGCTATACCAGTATGTCAAGGACAACACAATGGTTAGAACAGTACTGTGATCTTACAGAATCTGAAAATAGTTGATTCTGAATGGTTAGTTTTTTTCCATGCAAGTTAATTGGCTTTCGTTATCGTTGTTGTTTGAGTGAGCATTAATGGAGTAAGTAATCTATTCAATGGCCGAGTTAGTTTCATGAAATTCTAGAATATCGGACTGTCATATATATATTTCTATGGTTTATCAATCGAATCCGTGATTTTTTTGTTTGAATACTATGGTATCACACTTTATATGTTATAGAAATAATACTTTTTAAAGATATTAGCTATAGTAGTAATCGGTTATATTAGTAAATATGGGCTGAGCTAATCTATCAGGTACAGATTACGCAGTTAGGGTGCGCGTGATTATCGTAAACAGTGACTAAAGACTTTGAATGATATCGCTAAAAATCGTTAGCAATATCACAGGCGAATCGATCCTCCGTCTTCCCTCCAAATTCTAAGCTTCAGCATTCCTCAAAACTTAAATATATATTTCAGTAGTTTATATCTCCTTAAATCTTATCTTTGATTCTTAATCTTTTCCATTACTGCTAATACTTCTACTACTACTACTCTGGGATTCGGCCTGACAATTTCATCTCTGTGTTATCGTGCTACGGTAACTTGAACTGATGTACATATGTGCTAAGTTCTACGTTGAAAGTGATTAACTGACTAATAAATAAATATACATGTATAATCAAGTCAATTACGTGTAAAATTGTAATGGTTGGTGAAATTGATTTTTAGGTGACAAACGGTTACATGTGTTTTAAACACGAAATTAGCTTACACTATAATCTCTCTCTCTCTCTCTCTCTCTATATATATATATATATATATATATATATATATAGGTAATTGTTTACATGAAATTTTAAGTATGCTTGCATGTATTCATGAGAAATTTTCAAGAATAAACAATGTCAATAATTAAAATAGCAGGAATTATTTTTTTTTTTATCATTAACATTGAATATTGATGATATTTTATGGATTTAATGACAGGAATAAAAATTAACTTTCATTAGTTAGTGATAATGTGTCACTTAAAACCTGATATACATGTGCGTCAGTTCAAATTGTTACATCACCACCACCTTAGTGCAGTGAGATAAAACCAAGAGTACTAGAAAGAATAACAGTATCTGTAGTAGTATTGAATATGATTAACTGTCGGGGGAAGGAAACAAAAAGGTAAAAAAATATTTTGGAATTCAGGTATTAAGAAAAGAGTGGATGAATATGTGTTATTGAGGACGATTCTGAGCTAATTCACTTAAACCCCCAACCTGGTAGCATGCACCTACATACATAAGTAAATCATGTCTTAGTTCATCTGTATTACAGCTTCCTCTTGTATTGGAAAACATCGTCCACCAAAATAGGTAGTGGTTGGACAAAAGTCTTACATGTCTGAACTACTTTAGCCAGTGAAGATTCACTATCTCATCATCAACTGATTTGCTATTTTGAACTAGTAAGTCGATCAAATGTAGTTTTAGTTAGTAATCTATAGCTTAACCTCAGAATTATTCACTATGTGGTTTCGTTGTAAAAACTGACAATACCAAGTTTAATTTGTAGAAGGATTATGGGTGAGTGCATTGTTGAGTCTAACAGTGGTTTAGGCACTGTTTCAACTAACAGACCTCAAGTTAGAAACAGGCTTTCAGTCAGTCAGCAACAATGTAAAACTTCGTTCATTCTTATGTACGTACATCAGTTCAAGTTGCCATATCACATTAGCACACAGAGATCGAACTGTCAATTCAAATCCCATAGTGGTGAAGGTAGTAGACGTATGAGCAGTAATTGGAAAGACAAGGGTTTGAAAATGTTATAATCTAGTGAAATAAATTTAGGAAGAGGAGGATGAAGGTCATGAGGAATTCAGATTAGAATTTGGCAGAATACAAAGAGTGGGTGGACCTACGTCACTGCAACCGATTTTGAGCCATGTCATTCAAGGTCTCTAACCATCGGTTACTATTATCTCGCGAACCCTAACCAGGTAGTCTGCATCTACGAACATGAATCAGTTCACTTGTCAGTGACTTTATGGATTTGTCCCATGTTTTGATATGATCGCCCCTAGTTTTCTTCCGGCTTACCCCTACACCAGGTATTTTCGCTCACCGAGGCAGTCGGTGGTTGGGTATACGTAAAACATGCCCCAAACACCTCAAACGAAGAAGTTTCAATACTTCATTTGTTGATCTGCCATCCTTACCTAAAACCCTTTACTTAACAAAACCACTGCTTACATGATTGTTCCCGGATAAAGGAACAATGCTTCGAAGACACCTATGATCAAACACTAATGGCCTACGAATATCCTCTACTCTTAACGGTCATGTTCCACAGTCATAAAGTAGGACGGAACGAACTACTGCACAAGTAAACTAATACATTGAGAATCCCTTTAATTTTCGCGTTCACATCATGATAAACTTTCATGAAGCTCACCAAGATAAAACATTGATGAACACTATTAACATGTCAGTTTTCGTTTAACATTGAATAACCCAAATTATTCTTGTCATTAAGCAACATTGCAATAGCGAAGTCATAGCTTTTTAATACTCAAGGAATTGAAAGAAAGCAACAGTACATCTAAGTATTCGTTGAAACAACTCTAGTTATATAGTAAACTAATTTAATGCATACATTGAACAGTACAAAACAATCAGTAAACATACACAACTACTATATGTACACTTACTTCATTTGTAGAATTTCTAGTTGACAGTGAATTGGATATCAATGAGTTAGTTTTTAAATCTTCATTAACCTGAGATCCTTTCAACGTCGACTTCATTGTTGGATGATAATTACTCTCAGAACAATCATTATTACTATTATATGATATTGGTATTGGAATACGTGATTTCAGATTTGACAAATTCAATGAAGTTTTATTAACATTCAACGCAACATCAGATGTTGATGATGTAGTTAGTGCTCCGGTTACTTTCAATTGTTCACTACCACTAACAGGTTTATTCGATTTAGGCGGGATAAAAAATGAAGTTGTTTTATTGGACAATATACAAGGACGTGGTATATGATGAGTAGATTGTAACGACGATTCACCTCTACCGCCACCAGAAGTGGATAATACTCCATTGTGTGAACAACCACCATTCAATGTAGTACAAGTAGTATGTGATGATGAAGATGGTGACAATGATAATGATTTACTAGAATGATTTAATCCTAATGTAACTACAGTTACATCACTTGGTGTTTCTGAACATGATGGTGATGAGGATGATAATGATGATGATAAGAATACTGACCCAGCACCGATAGTTGTACCACAAGATAAACTATCCAAACCGCATATTGATGATGATGATGACGATGAAGTACTATCATCCATAAATTTTAAATCATTTGAACAATTATTCTGATTATGAATTATTGATGATGATGAAGATGATGATAAAGGTTCAGTGGATATTGTGAATTTAGAATATTCATGACCGGTAGTTGAAATTGGTGTTGCTGTTGTAGTTGTTGGTAAATTAGTTTTACTAGTTATTGAATGTGAATAGAAACATTTTAATGAATCGTTTCTTTTCACTAATTGACGATGATGATCATGAGTATTATTATTATTATTATTAGAACAATTTGATTCTGTTTCCATACTGAGATGTTGTGAATAATTAGGAAAAACACCAAAACAACATAAACAACATTTAGGAATGAAAAATTAAGTAACATTGATATGATAGGGAATATGACAGTCAGTCAGTCAGACAGATGCAACGTAGAACTTCGTACGTAAGTACATCAGTTCATGTCACCATATCACATCAGCACGGAGTTATAATTGTCAATTCAAATCCAATAGTAGTAGAGGTAGTAAAGGTATTAGGAGTAATCTGAGAGGTTAGCATTAGAAGATATTATTCAAGAAGTATGATTCAGTGAGATAAGTTTAGAAAGTAAAAACTAGAGGTGTTGAAGAATCCAGAAGATTAGGGTTTGAGAGAACACAAAGAATAAATGCACCGGCGCCATTCAAGGTCTCTAACCATCAATTATTATCATCTCGCGGACCCCAGCCAGGTAGTCGACAATTACCGACATGGCTAAGTCCACTAGTGAATGACTTCATGGATTTCTGCCATGTTTTGATTTGGCCGCCCCTAACTTTCTTCCAACCTATTCCTACACTAAAAAACAAAGCTCGATGAGGCAGTCGGTGGTTGGGCATACGCAACACATGTCCCAACCACCTCAACTGATGAAGTTTCATTACTTCATCTATTGATCTGCCATTCTTACCTAGCACCCGTGTCCTAATAACAGCGTTGCTCACTCGGGTGTCCCACAGGGAATGTGACAAGTTTATGGAAAAAAAGGAAACCATTAGTAACGCATTCGAAAGCTTACTCTAGTTTCGTTTATCAGTTTGTCTTAATCTCATGCTGGCTTTATTTCTGATTACTGTCTATTTATTCCTCTATTGCATATAAGCGTATTCTATGTGCTTACTGAGTCTGGATAATCTCACACGCTGTTATTCATACACAACCCTTCAGCACACGAGGTATTACTTCCTGGCTAAACGCAAACTAACCAAAGGCTAAAGTTACAACAAAAGTTATTTGCATATGATGAATGGTTACGTTTGATAAAATGACCCCTGCTTTCCTGGTTCCTAAACACAGACACACACACATACACACACACACTAGGCTACTTGCTTATTCTTACAGAAATATATACATAATATGACTTATATATTTCAAACGAGAACAATGTGCTTGACAAAAATCAATTTCGTTACTGTACTTTTCCTACTAAAATATGATTAATCAATAATGATGTAATTTGTCTACTAGGTTCAAATAAATGTACAAGGCTATCAACTATATATACGTTGTTGTGTAACAGATAGTAATGCTGTGTCCGACACCGACATAACATGAAGCTTGAACTTGAGATCTCGTGACTTAAAATGATCACATTAGTATGTTAAATCATCACTTCATGAATGACTCATCACCTAAAACTGGATTATATCTCAGGCTTGACCCATGTTCCTTTAGATTCAATGATGCCAGGCAGGTCGACTGGAGAACGATCAGACTAAAAGCAGCTACTTTACCTCGGACAACCAGCATCTACGGCGATGCTGTCTTCTGACAAGGAAGGGAGGGGCAGAAAAGGTCGACCTTAAAAATGTCACACCCCACATTATCTCACAGATTTCCATCTCCGGTGATAAGGTCTTTTAAACAAGAGCGGAGCCAATACTTTAGGGCAACAGGCTTCATTAGCTATGACTTTAGAATCTCACGCCATTGATGTATGCTGCGTCTCCGAAACGCGCATACAGGATCCGAATAGCGTCATTCATTTGACCTCACCATGTCAAAATTAAGAACCAGCTTGATCTACTGTTTGTGTATCTGGAAGCCCTGATGCTGCTTCCCGTGACCTCGAAGGGGTAGGTATAGCAATGAGTAGAGCAGATAGATAGTCGCTTGTGCGCTGTCCGACTAAACGGGACAGTACAGACTCGGAAAGATAAGGACACTTGCCGTTGCCTCTTCGTCATATCTGCCTACGCTCCCACCGACTGCAGCTCACACGAGGTGAATAATGAGTTCGACAGAAAGCTTTCGAACCCCCTCCAAAACGTTAGGCGCTCTGATACAGTAATAATGGCTGGTGACTTTACTGATCAAGAAGGTAGACTAAATGAGCAGGAAAGACATCTGGGTGGATCTTATGGTTCGCGGCTCAGAGAACAGACAATGGCGACCGCCTGTTGCAACTGTGTTCAGATAACCAACTATTTCTAGCAAACACTACTGCTCGTTCTGGAGCACATGTTTAGATTAAGATCATGTCCTAGTGCGAGTGAGTATTTGTTTGCGACTTACTGGACGTGGGAAAGACACCGCTAGGAAACTTTTTAGGGTTCTACGTAATGACAGCATAGCTAAGGATATATTTCAGAAACAATTAGGAAACCAGTGAGGCAGCCATGTTAGTGATTCCCATCCGGAAGCGGCTTGGAAGGATACCCAAAGAACTGTGGAAACAGCAGCGATATCTGTTCGTAAGGTAAGTCAAAAGGTTAGGAAGAGGCCGTGAATTCCAGTGGCATCCACCAAACTTATCAAGGAAACCAGTGTTATAGATTATCTAACAGCGAAACTATCTCAGAAAAGGATGGGACTATTATTCATTCACAATCCAGGAGATTGGATAAATGGGCAGAACACTTCGGGGTCTTCAGCCACACTTTGGTTGCACACAATCTCCAGTCAACCTGAATGGCGATCGATATAAGTCCTCCGAGTCTTTATGAAGTTGAGAAAGCTATTGGAAATCTGAAGTGAGGGAGAGCAGTAGGTCCTGATAGGTTTGCCCCTGGGATTTTTAAGAATGGCGGTCCAGTTTTAACAGTTAGATCGACCGAGATCTTAGGTAGAAATCGCGAACCGGACACAATCCCATCCGACAAGTCTCAATCCCTGATTGTTCCAATTTATAAGAAATGACAAAAGTCGTCTTGTGACAATCACAAATAGTCTCAATCGCCTAACCAGAGCTCGTGAAGAGCAGACCAGGCTGGTTTCAGACCAGGACACGGCTGTATGGACTACATTTCCACACTACGTCAGACCCCAGAACAAATACACACGTTCAGACGCCCCACAATAGTGGTACTTCTCGACCTTCAAGCGGCATTCGACTCTATTGATCGTGAGGTTCTCTGACAGTGTTTGTCATTAAAAGGTGTACCAAAGAAGTACATTAAACTTATACAAGCTCTCTATTCGAACACCACTGGCCGAGTGAGAGCTTATGGCGAACTGTCACCGGAATTCTTTACTTCAAGTGGTGTCCGTCTGGGCTGTCCACTCTCTCCATTCTTGTTTAACTTTGTCGTAGAGATGCCAGGAGACACGCTTGTTGAGTAGAATATGTCGATGATATAGTTTTGATTAGTGAAGACGCTGGCAAAATCCAGTCTTCTGACTACCCTAAGCAACAATACCAGCAATATCGGTTGCGATATTCGCCCTTGAAATGCAAAACGCTGCATCGGCACATGAACTAGCGATGAGTGAAGTAGTCGAGCGTGTAGACCGCTTCACTTACCTCGAGAGTCTCACCAGGGCCGATGGCATGGTGACTGACGATATCTCAGCACGGATACAGAAAGCTCGACTGGTTTTGCCAACTTGTCTCACTTATGGCGTAGACGAGATATCCATTTGCTAACCAAAGGATGTGTCCTACGCAGTAGTTCGCTCTGTCCTACTATATGGACGCCAGACATAGCCAGCCACCGTAAAAGATATTCGTTTGTTACTGGTTTCTATCATAGGTACCTGTGAGGCATTGCTCGTGTATCATGATACAACCGAGTAAGCAATGTTGTTAGGAAACGGATCCTAGATAAGGATGGAAGGTCCATAGATGAAGTATTGAAACTTCATCAGTTGAGGTGGTTGGGACATGTGTTACGTGTGCTTAACCATCGACTGCCTCGTCGAGCTGTGTTTTGCGACGTAAACATAGTTTGGAAGAAATCTAGGGGCGGCCAAACCAAAACATGAGAGAAATCCATGAGGTCACTGACAAATGGACTGAGTCATGTCGGTAGGTGTCAACTGCCTAGTTGGGGCCCACGAGATGATAGTAATCGATGGTTAGAGACCCTGAATGACATGTCTCAAAACCGTTTTCAATGGCGTAGGTGCATCTACTCTTTGTGTTCTCTGAAATTCCTCATCACGTCTATTTTTCTCTTTCTAAAGTTATCTCACTGAAATGTACTTCTTGAAAAGTATCTTCGAGCTTTAATCTTCTCCATTACCGCTAATGCTTCTACTATCTCTACCACTATGGATAGTGTAGTTAATAGCACTGAGTAACTTTCGCAGTGATGGTAGTACAGGTGTTATACTTGGAGAAAGAACTTACGATAATGAGTACGTATAATAAACTTATTTTCTGTGCAAAGACATTCAGGGCAGTGAAATCGCACGTACTCAGTAATGAACTAGCATATAGAAATATGGTTTGCAGTTTAGTTTGCAGTTTCGAACTACAAAAAACAAACTGTGCCAAAAGTGGAGAGATTTAGCAAAGGCCAACCCTAATCAGTGCTGAGAATTTGTGCTGAAAGATAGCTGAATTATCATAGCACTTGGCTACCAATCGCAGCTGCTAACTTGACGTGGTGGTTGGTTTTGCCTACCGCGATCATCCAACCGAGCTATTTTAGCTGGAACACAAGTCCCTTCAAGACCTAACATACCACGAAGGTCGACTTGTTTGCGGCTTACTGGACGTAGGAAAGACACAGCAAGGAAACAACTTAGCGTTCCAATTAACGATAGTAAGACCAAGAGTATATTTTAGGAGCAAATAGAAAAAATTAGACAGCCATGTAAGTGATACCCACTTTGAGGCCACTTGGAATGATATCTGCAGGGCAGTGAAAACAGCAGTGATATCTACCAGAAACGTGAACCAAAAGGTAAGGCAGAAACAAAGGATTTGAGTGGCATCTACTGAACTGATATATGCTCGAAAACCAATCCCGTCTATATCCGAACATGATGAGGAGTGGAGTCAACTTAAGCGAAGGCTGATAAGAAGCCTACGCAATGATCACGAATAGTAGTGGGTAGCGAAAACAAAGCAGCAACGATAGGTAAGAGTGGACAACTGTTCAGACTTATAAAAGAAACTGACATTAGAAATCTGATTATCAGCCACTCAGGAAAAGATGAAACTAATGCTCACTCAATCCAAGAGATTGGATAGATGGGTAGATCATTTAAGGAAGCAGTTCAACTGGCCTTCAGCCATAGTTCAGTTACCCACCATCTCCAGTCAACCTGGATAGCGAATTAATGTGGATCCTCCAGCTTATAATGTAGTTGAAAAAGCTATAGGAAATCGAGAGGGAGGACAGCAGGCCCTGTTAGATTAAATCCTGAGATTTTTAAGGACGGTGGTCCAGGTTGAGATCTTAGGTAGGATTTCGGCACTGGACGTAATCCCGTCTGACTGGTCTCAATCACCAATTGCCCCGGTCTACAAGAAAAGGTTCTCTTGTAACAATCACAGAGGAATCACTTTGACAATGTGTCTAAGATAATAGTTTCGACAATACTCCGACGCCAAACTAGGGCTCGTGAAGAGCAGACTAGAGAAAACCAGGCTGCATTTAGACCTGGAGGTGGATTTATCAATTAGATATTCACACTGACAGGTCCCGGAACACAGACAAACATACGGTTTCATGAGACCAAGAAATTTTCCGTGTATTTCGATCGTTTGCATCAACTGTGCGAAGTGACAAAGGAATATGAGAATAGTTAGCCATCGAGGTAAGACAGCTATTAAGAGGCATAGGGAGGATGTGATTGTACGCAACTTACGAGTATGAAAGGGTCATTATCCGAAAACCCTAGATCTCTAAGGGTAGTTAACTCTAAGAATTTCTCCCCCGTATACGATTTTTATAAAACCAGTCAGCGAAATGCATGATTTGATAGTAAAGTCCCTTTGCGTTCGTCCACTCTATATTTGTATCGATATCCGGCAGACATTTTTAAATAAAGTTTCAAGATCGACTAATTTCAGAAAAGTATGGGTACCAGTACCGAAGCCTACCTTGCTTTCAATACCTTTACTGAACATTGCTCATTTATATAGAAATAATATAGCGTTTGATGAGGTAAAAATATCAAAACCAACAAGGCTAATCAACAATTAAGGATTGTCATTTTTAAGTAACATGACGCAACCTGTCATCTCAGCAGCTGTTAAACTCAAAAAGCGGAAAATTGCGTATAAATACCAGTGGGACTAATAATATCCTCGAAAAATGCCCAGGGGAATATAACTAGTTGCATAAACACAAGATCATATTACGTTAAAACCATTACAATGATAAGGAACTGTGACACAAAAAACAAAGTGCAATATATTATGGCTCACCTCATTATCGAATTATGCTTTCATGACTAAATATAACGAAGGTACACTTAATAGATCCTGAGTTTATGTTCTCTATACAAAACATCCTTGTTGTACAACTCTTCTTTAAAAGACCGCTACAGAGATTGTTCAATATCCAATATCTTTTTCACGAGCTAGTATAAACCAATTGATTTCTTTGCGCTCAATTCTTGTTCTTTAGGTACGTTTCCAGGTATTCGGTAGTGCCCGATGAATGGACGTCTATTCACTTGACTGTCTAATTCTAGTCAGTTGGCAGCTGGTTGTGAGTTTGTATGTCTCGGGATTTGAATGAAAACGTTTGTTTCAGGGCAGTAGGGTTTCTGGATACCAACATTTATCACATTACCAGACCGGAGATCAGTTGGTTGCAATTTGAAGAATAATTAGGATAATAAGGGTAAATTCTAATGCTAATATTAATAAAATTTCAGAACTAAGTAATATATAGATGATTTAGTTTATTAATTGGTAGTGAAGATTGTGAAAGAGGACCAAAGTCTAAGTAAGGGAGAGGAAACAGAGATAGTAGGCGAGGTAGAATAATTGAGTGATTTGAGGAGATGACAATGATAACAACTAACAGGTCTCGAGATATGAACAGATTGTCCAAGAGGGGGATGATAATCCGCATGTGAGTACGTGATTATCAAGTCACTATTAAAGCTGTCCACTGAGGGTACTGTGGTCACCTCGGCTGGGAGAGCATTCCAAGTTGAGACGACTCTCAATGAGAAAAAGTGTGCACGAACTTGAGTATTAGTCCTTTGATGTGCAATCTTCTGAGGATTGCCTCGAGGGGAGTGGCGGTTTTGCATCGGTAAGATGTTGACGCTGGGATGGTTTAGCGTGCTTAATAACTACTTGTATGCAGTAAAGAACTTTTATTATCGAAAAGTATCTAGTTTTTGTCTACTTTCGTCAACTAACTTGTCTTGGATTTCAAGCAGCTGTTGTCGCCGAGCGAATGAAATGATTTGCTTATGGGAATTTCAAATAGTATTTAAGTGAAGTAAAAGTTGCCTAATTGATATAAATTTATCCGGAACTCGATATAATACTATTTTGAAATAATCTTTTCAAATAGGTGGACAACTTTTCTAGAATTTTACTATGATTTGTCCCGTACATGAAGTGCCCAGAGATGAACTTGCACATAGATAAATTTTTGAGTGAACTTAATTCAACGTTTGAGGTTGAACTGTACAACAGTTTTCGAAACTATCAAGTCCTTACCAGTGAAGCTTTCAATTTTTCAGGTGTTTCCGGACGGAATATCAATATTTTCCAAAGTAGTTTCAGAGCTTTCTTTTAATGTCAGTATGTAGTCATAAACAAAATAATTTGAAAAATATTTGAAAATGTACCTTTTAGTTTATCGTTCTTGATGCGACAGACCTATGTGATGCTTTTAAATAGTTTTTAAGCCTTCAGTCTTTATGTTGAACCCATCAGTTTCACTACACATAACATTAACTGGGAGTGA